AATCAACCAAATACCCATCCGATCCCTCCCGCTTAGCTCCAAATATACACATTATTGGTAATACCATATACATATAACAAATATTATATATACTGTATACATATACATACATATATATATATATATATATATATATTTTTGATATGCCTGCCTGAGTGTGTGCCAGACAGAGGAGAGAGGAAGATCGAAAAAGGAAAAGAGAGAGCGCTTGTGTATCTGCTTTCCGATATCTCGGATATAAAATCAATTTTTCTATATCTGTTCTATATATACTTTCGGCTCTTATCGGCATTTTTGTATACATCCTTACTGTATATACTATACTAGCTTTGTTTAAGTGTCCTTATCAAGGGTTAATCAACATCAGAATCATTTCGATTTATTACTAAATTCAACCTATAATCAAAACTAATTATTTATGTACTTGAATATATCGAAATAAATATCGGGATACAATTGGAATTCTTGCACCCATCAAGCATCATTACTTACTCTTCAAACATTCCGCTCAAATCTATTGTTCTTTCATCTCTACTTAGTCTCGGCACCAATTAATATGAGATCTTAGCACCTTTCGCACCTTTCCCTTTAGCCCTTTAGGAAACCCTATAAGGTATGTGCATGTACAGATAGAAGCGATAGGCAGGATTACTTTTGATTCGGGAGCAGCCCATGGAGTACATCAAAAAGCACGAGCAGTACTTATATGCAGTATATCCGATGAAGATATAAAATGCGAGTAAATATGTCCACATAACTGTACAGATCATGCGATATGCTTGCGAATCTCGAGTACACCGCTGGTATTGGTCTCTCCTCATAGCCGTAAGACAGTGGTTTTGGTTGACAACGCCCTGGGTTTTAAAGATAATATATGTATATGGTTGACTCTAGGTATAGTTTGTGCTTCAGAAACACATTGATTGATTATCTGGCATATTGCATATGTATTTCAAACGATTCCAAAAATTCAGAAAAAGGGAATGGGCTTCGTTGCTATTAAACCTTTTTGCAAATAAGTGCAGACATGAGACGGATTTATGCTACAGTTTCAGTTTACATTTAATAAGTTTGGCATAAGGAATAAAATGGTTCCCAATGAGAGGAGCTGCAGCAATAGTATATAGTATATAGTGTATGTATGCATGTATGCATCCATGCATGCATGCTACAATATATTACAAACAACAAAACCGGAATAGTGGATCCGATGTAGATATATAGTATACAAGTACATACATATGTCCAAATATTTGTACCGGTCGTGCGATAAACAGTGCATTTATGCAACTAACAAACGGGATAGGCGCTCTGTGGCCATAGCTACGAGATATTGTAGATATATAGACATTTATATAGATAGAGTGCATAGTTCTATACAGATTGTGGTCTGTAAACACTTAAGATTAGGTTTCTGTCTGCTCGGGCAGATGGATAAGGTAGGTATACACATGTATGTAAGGATAGTGTCGTTGATTCGAGGATGCCTCCTGCGTGGAACAGGAAAACTCTTAACTCTTCCGACATTATTTCCGATCGTACAGTCGGACAAAGTGATTCGGATTGGCTGCCCCAGATCGATGCGGGTGCTGGTGCTGTTGCTGTTGATGTTGCTGTGATGCAGGGGCAGCCAGTCCGCTGCCCGTGGCCGATGCAGCACTGGCCATATGTTAGAAGAGACGTTTCTCATAGCTGAAGAGGCCGTGAACATTGCCCTCCAGCTGAGCGGAATGGGTGCGCTTCATGAATCGCAGTTGGCCATTGTAGATCATCTCCCTGTAAATATTATTGCAATGCAGGAGTTCCATGGAGAGCTTTTAGGCTTTATGTTCAAGCACTCACTTCAATTTCTTAACGGAATTGGCTCCAATATCTTGGCAGCTATGCTGCAGTCCGCACTCCAGGTAGGGCAGATAGCGTAGTACGCTGCCCTTGTCCACTATACTGCCACTGACACCCTGGGCGACCTTCATCTTGTCCATCTCATTGTGGTAGTAGCGGGACATGGCCGCACCCTTCGCATCACCGCGTTCCATCGCCTCCAGCGATCCCATGCCTCTGTATTTCTTCAAACGTACGCCATCCGAGAAGAAGTACTCACCGGGTGCCTCCGAAGTGCCGGCCAGTAGGGAGCCCATCATCACGGCGCTGGCCCCCAAGGCTAAGGCCTTTACAATGTGTCCGATCGACTGGATACCGCCGTCGGCAATCACGGGCACGCCAAACTCCTTCGCATAGGTGGATACCTGATAGACGGCCGTTGCCTGGGGACAGCCGCAGGCCATCACCTCCTGGGTGATGCAGATGGAGCCAGAGCCCATGCCCACGCGTAGTCCGTCCACTCCCGCCTCGATAAGGTTCTTGGCCTGGGCGCGTGTTACAACTGGATTGGGGGGGAGCAGAAGCCACACAAAGGGAGGAGAGATTTAAGGACGATGATGTGGTTAGGATGTACTAATGAGGACAGTTTAGTGGATGAGCAACTTACCATTGCCGCCGATGACCTGCAGGTCGGGGTAGGTCTCCTTGATGAACTTAATCATCTCCACTTGATAAATGGAGTTTCCCTGCGACGAGTCCAGAATGATCACATCCACACCATTGGCCACCAGCAGCTGGAGCCGGGCCTTGTCCTCACCGCGCGTCCCAATAGCGGCGCCCACCAGCAGCTGCTTGTTGGAGTCCTTCGAGGCGTTCGGATAGGAGCGTGCCTTCTTAAGATCCGTGCGCGCAATCATGGCCACCAATTCGCCATCCTGATTGATAATCGGCAGTTTTCCCTTCTTGCTCTTCTCCAGAATGGCATTCGCCGTGGGCAGATTGATGCCATTGGGAGCGGTTACCAGTTCGGTGGTCATTATGTCGGCGAGAATTATCTCCGGCTGATTTTCACGGAAATCAATGTCCCTGGAGGTGACCATACCGAGGAGCTTGCCGCCCAGTTTGCCATTCTCAGTGACCGGATAGCCGGTGAAGCCGTTCTTTCGCCGGGCCTCGAGCACATCGCCGACGGTGTTGGTGGGCGACATCACGGACGGGTCGCGCATGAAGCCATGTTTGTACTTTTTAACCTTGTGCACCTCCAACGCTTGGTACTCCGGCGTGCAGTTGTGATGGATGATGCCGATGCCACCACACAGCTGCGCGTCGGACGACAGTGTCGAGTGTGAGAGTCCATCAGTGTGAGTGTGAGAAGCAGTCCAGGCCAAGGACGGGTAGCAGAGTAGTCAACGGTTAGCGGTTGAGCGGTTAGAGAGGCACAAAAGAGTGTTGAGTTACAACCACAGCTAGAGCGATCGAATCCGAGTCGAGCCCCCAATCCGATCTAGATTCTGAGACAGTACTCACCGCCATGGCTATGGCCATCTCCGATTCGGTTACGGTGTCCATGGGCGAGCTAACCAGCGGTGCCCTTAATGTAATTTTCTTGGTCAGCGGCGACCCAAGATCAACATCCTCGGCGGTGAAGTCTATATAGCCGGGCAATATGAGAAAGTCGCTGGGGATGTTGACATTGACATTGAGAGAGGATTAAGATGCCAGGGATGACAGCGATGTGTTGATTGATTGACTAAAAGATTTGTGGGGTGGCCCGACACTTACTTGTAGGTGAGTCCATCTCCATTCTGGAACAACTCCCTGCAGCTGAGGCCGTCCTGAAGCTGATCCTCAATGGATGATTCTCCTACATCCACAAAGCCATTGAGTTTGGGCTTGCTGCTGCTGCTACTTCTGTTATCCATCTCAGTGGCACGGTCGTCCGATTAACTTGGGCCAGACAAAGACGGCGATAACAATAAACAAAATAGGAAAAACTACCGCGAGCCAAGGGCCAAGATGAACAAAAGAGCTAAACAAAGCAGAATCTATGCCGCAGGTTTTTTATTGGGAGGTATGGGCGCTGCTCTGTTCCACAGACACACACCACACACATACACAGGTTCAATGAACTCCCGATGCGGCGGCGCTTTGTGGCAGCTGCGTAGCTCTGTGGATGCGGATGATTGCTGTCCAATTGTCGATGGAACAACGCAATTGCCAATTGCAGTGAGACGTAACTTTTTGCTGTGGCGGCGGCACAATGAAAAGCAGCATAGAAACAACGTTAATTGTAGTGTCTCTATTGCGTGGAATGAGCTCTGGACAGCGCTCCGGGCTTTGGGATGGGTGGAAGGCCGAGCACATGGTTTTGCCACTTACCAGTCCAGCCGTTTAACCGTGTAACGTATAGGGTATGAACGCGGCAAACGAAACGTGGATACGCATGGCAGCTGTGAACAGTGTGACCGGGGGTTCCTCGATTAAATATAGCGTTTGACTCTCAAAGACATACCGAAATATACCTTCCTTTTTTCCATTTTATACCAAAAATATACCGATCAAAATCATATTCCTCAATTTTGATATTCGAAACAATATTGAAAGCTAGTTAGGACACTCAGCACTAAAGGTATTATTTTATTCGATTCATCAATCAATTTTGTACAGTTCAGTTTATTATAAGGCCTCTTCTCTATTGGGTTGCACATAAAAAGAGGTTACAACAAAGAAGGAAAACCAAAATTTACTTTCATTTTACATTTACATTTAGTTATAGAGTAGCCGCACGATTGTTTTTGAACATTTTTTCTTGGGGCTCCGGTGGTTTGATGATGATATGATATGATATGATATCAACGGATTAATTTAGCAAGATATAGATTGTGGTCTAGTCAAGTCGACGTCTGTCAAGTGAGCGTTAGTAGTCGATAAGTTTTCAGAAAAGTTGAAAAAAGTTGAAATTTCAGGAAACAGCGGTCTGTTTTAGCATGAGAAAATTGATGCGGCATAGGTAAAGCTAAACTATATGAAGCCATACTTTATTATTAGCAAGATTAGTTCGCTTATTTACGCGGCCAGGCGATATATTATATCGACGATAGCAGTGTGAGCGCAGCTGGTCGTGCAAAAAAACTCTGGCTGAATTTGAAATTATCATATCGTCTTGAACGTAAACATCACAGTATATCGATATACCCATTCCTAGTTAAATCTATTCGTTTTGGCCTCGACTTGAGCGGGCTTAAAGCCGTAGGAGGGAAAGTTCTAACCTGCAAGCGGGCAGCAGACGCAAAAGCGGCCAGCACCAACGTACCCACAAAAACGAGCGGGCTTACCAGTTGCTCCCCCCCCCCCAGACGGTAACGAGACGTTGCCGCTCCGCTCTCCGCAGCCACAAACAGCTGTTGCCGAGCATTTCCTGCCACCGCTGCAACTCACTCCCACCGCACAGCAACGCCATAACCTGCCAACATGCGTCTCCAAGCTGCCTGTCTGATTGTCCTGGTGGCGCTGCCAACGCTGTGTCTGGGCCTGCTGGAGGGCCTGTACTGCGGCAAGGAGGACTGCTACGATGTTCTTGGCGTGACACGTGAATCGTCCAAATCGGAGATTGGCAAAGCCTACCGCTTGCTAGCACGCAAGTACCATCCGGATCTGCATCGCGGCGTCGAGGCCAAGGCCCTAGCGGAGGAGCAGTTCAAGCTCCTGGCCACTGCCTACGAGATCCTTCGCGACGAGGAGTCACGCAATGATTACGACTACATGCTGGACAACCCGGATGCATACTATGCCCATTACTATCGTTACTACCGCCGCCGCGTGGCGCCCAAGGTAGATGTGCGCATTGTGATCGTGGTGGTGCTGTCGATCATCTCGGTGATACAATACTACTCCGGCTGGCAGCGTTATGACTCGGCCATCAAGTACTTTGCTACGGTGCCCAAGTACCGCAACCAAGCGCTGGACATTGCTCGCGACGAGATACAGGAGCGCATCCAGAAGAAGGGCAAGAATCGCATGTCCAAAACGGACCAGAAGGAGGAGCTGGAGCGCATCATACGCAAGGTCATCGAGGAGAAGATGGACGTTCAGGGCGGCTATGCGAAGCCAACGCTGTGGGACGTGCTCTGGGTTCAGCTGCTCATTTGCCCCTACACTCTGATCTCGTTCATCGTGTGGCATGGCCAGTGGTTCTGGCGCTATACGATCCTCAAGCAGCCGTACGGACGCGAGCAGAAGCTGTATCTGGTGCGGCGCTATCTAAAGATGGGCCAGCATCAGTTCAATGCGCAGGACGACAAACAGATCGAAGAGTATCTACACCTGGAGCTGTGGAAGCGTGACAACTTCGAAGCGTGGAAGGCCGAACAGGACGAGGAGATGAAGAAGAAGCTGGCGGAGAATCCACGCTACAAGGCCTACAGGCGCTACATGAAGAACCATGGTCCCGGGCGTATCACCTTCGAGGATTAGCCAGAGCCCAGCCCTGAGAGCTCCCCACATACACACCGATGTTCAAGTTTTATTGTTCCATCTGTAACCCAACCGACTTCTCCCTTCCTTAGACTTCCCCTGCCCCCCATTCCTCGTTAGACAACACTCGTTTTTACATACATGCATACACATATATATATATATATAGATCTATTTTTTTTACGAACATTTTCAATGTCTAGGGCGAAAAAATGTAGATTTTGCATTAGCCTAACAAATAACTAAAAGTATCGTTCCATAACTTGTGGCGTTGACCCCGCCGCCACAGGCGACACAGCAGAGCCGCAGCATGAAACAAAAACAAAAACAAACCACGGACACATTCAAACCGGTTCAAGAACGTGGCCAAAACCTTCAGTTTTGTGCCATCTCAGCGCGGTACTACAGTGGAGGGCGGCTACGGCGAGCATAGCAACTATACTACTATTCTAGAACAATTAACCTATCTCCGGCACGGAGACCCCTGCCCCGTACGTCTTCTCTTCTCTTATACTTATAGCAAATATACGCTGAATGTTAAAATGTGAATGTGAGAATGTAATAAAACTACAATAGATAGAGATGATTGCTACCACATAATCTTACTGCTGGGGTGCCTACGGCAGCCACTCTTCTAGGTTTGCACAGTTGTTTTTCTCCGCCGCTGACGCGGCACCCCAAAATTGGATGCCGTGGCACATAATCTCCATTCTTCATGTGGCATAAAGTTTGGGCTGGCGTTTATACAGCTGCTGCTACAGAGAAATCTCCATCATTCGCATTCGCATTCACTACTCCTTCCACTACCTCAAAACGACTAGGGTGAGAGTGGGCGGGGTGGGATCGAGGCCGTATACTAATACTAGTCAATCAAATATTTGGAATCGTCAGCAAACTCCTCGGAGTCCAGCAGATCTCCGACAAGCGCATAGGGGTCATCCTTGACGGAACGCACGCTCTGGTGATAGACATCGACATCGACCTCGACATCGACATCGACATCGACATCGTCGAAGTCATCGTTCTCCGGTTCTGGATCTGCATCGTCCAGCTCCATTGCCTCTTTTTCGCCGGCAGCCTCCAGATCGTGCACGTCGGCATCGTCCTCCTCATTGAACATGAAATCGTGGGTGACAATACATTCCTCCAGCACCTTGGTCGGCTCGGCCCCAAGCATCAACTGGCCGATAGACAGTGTCTCCGGGACATGGCTCTTTTGCAGCTTGCGGCCGGCCGGACGCTTGGCTGTTGGTGCGGCCGTAGTGGCGCCGTTGTGCTGGTCCAGGTGGGTGGCCAGGTAGCTCTTTTTGGTGAATCCCTTGTCGCACTGCGTACACTGGAACTGCTTCTTGCCAGTGTGTGTGCGCCGATGCACGGTCAGCACGTGGGCGTAGGCAAAGCCCTTATGGCACACCTCGCACACATACGGACGCTCGCCGGTGTGGATGCGCTCGTGCTTTTTGCTGCTGCCAAAGTCCGAGAAGCGGCGGTCACAGTAGCGACACCCATAGGGCTTCTGACCTGTGTGTACGCGCATATGCCGGCGCAGCTCCACGTTCGATATGAAGGCCTTCTGGCAGACCTCGCACGGATAGGGACGCTCGTTGTTATGGCGCCGCATGTGTGCGTTTAGGGCATGCTGATACTTGTAGGTGTTCCCGCACACATGACAGATCTTGCGCGCACGCTCCGCATGGAGACTCGACTCCGGAATGACTATCTGTTGGCTATCGAACAGCACGTAGTCATCATCGTTGTCGACCTCCCTCTTAAAGATGGGTGTGACACGTTTGTATGTGCGTTTGCTTATATTGCATCGTTGGATCGTGTTGAGGGCGCGTGATGTCCGCGGAGCTGGTGGCGGAGGCGGTGGCGGTAGCTCATCCTGAGTCTCCTTAGATAGCGGCGTTTCGATTTCATAAGCATGTTCTGGGGTCGGGGGGTCCTCGTCCCAGGGTTGTGGGACGATCATCTTTTTATGTTCCTCATCCGACGAAACTGCGTCTAATGTCTGCTCCTTCATTGGCACCGTCTCCATGAGGGTGTCCAGCGACATGACCAGTGAATCGGAGGCATCTGGCAACAGGCCCAGTGAGTCTGAGTCCTCCCCGTCCCCCTGAAAGTACACCATTTTGGTGATGGGAAGATTCGGACCAGCCGTTTTGGTCGCTGCAGCTACAGTTACAGCTGCTGTGTTTAATGTCGAAACAGACCCTGTAGTTGGTACTGCAACTGCCCTGGGCGCTGCCGAGACTGCTCCCACCACCGTGCGACTTGCAGGAGGAATGGCTGAATCAACTTCAACGCGTTTGATTTTCAAACTGGATGGCAGCTTGACATGTTGCTGCTCCAAATCAAGTTTCAGCTGCTGATTCTTAGCCAATTCATCAACGTCGGCGATAGGACCACTGTTCGTCGCACTGAGGAATAGCTTTTCGATCAGCACACACTTCTCATAGAAGCGGTAGGCGACGGTCAGCTCACTGTGGCACTGCTCGCAGATCTTGTCCGGCCAGCGCTGCAATTTGAGATTCTCCAATTGCAGGTTAGTGCAATAGCGGATCTTGTCCGCAATCAGGGTGTGCGGCGGCTCCAAGTCATGGATGTAAATGGAGCTGTGGCCGGTCTCCTCATTCAGGCAGATCAGGCAGGCCACGTCCAGATTCACCACACGTGACGGCAGGTTGTTTGCCATTGGCTTATTATAGCAACAATTAGTTGCTGAACGCAATTTTACACAAAGACGCAGTTCCAATCAAAACACTGCTGTTGCTTTTTTCTGACTTAGTGATGGGCGTTTGCACCTATGAGCCTGCTACTCGATGATAAGTGTCTACATCGATAAGTGTGTATCGCACTTGTCGACCTTTCACGTACATGCATACATACATACATATGTATGGAAATGAATACCAGACGGTGCGCCGGCGTGAGCATGTTCAAACTTCAGAGAGCCTGGGGAATCCTTCCCTTTGGATTTTAAGCTGTACTGCCCATGCGGAACTCTCCAAGCGGAATTTATACTATAACATTTTCTTTCTTTTCTGTCGATCTCAATAAGAAAAATGATCGACTGTGAAGCTTATTCAGCTATGGAATACGATGGTGACATGTCCGAGTGATAAGAACAGACTGGTGTGGGTCTTACCCACAGTCAGCTGTCGAAAAAGGTGGGTGTGTTTCTTGATACTTTTATTCTTCAATATGAAGGTATTTATCAGATAAGACTATATATACACATATGTATTTCTAAACGAATATCCAATAAAATCGGTATTATTAGAGCTGCTTCAATTGGGAATTGGAGGGAGCAGTGCGGATGGTCCAGTCGATGGTAGCACTAACCATAATCCGTTCCTTCAGCTCTCGCACCGAAAACATTCTCCAATTTACGAACCTGGCTTACTCTTTCCACATTTGGCTAATCGACGGGCAATAACTTGAGTACATTCAGACATAGATAAATGCTTAGACAAACATACAATACATTTAACAGACATACACATATAAATATATAATACTTATTTATGGTAGATGGCGTGGAGGAGTGGGGCTCCACCCCACCACCTTTATACATCCAGGTCTGCTTCATGCTGCTTTATGAGCGGAGATGTCTTGAGGTGCTTCAAGTGCGTGTTGAGGGCGTACTGATAGTAGCTGTGGGTGCAGATCTTTGGCGCACGCCCCGGTTGACTGTGCGCCTTCTTACTTTGTTTATATTAGATCGTTGGATCGTGTTGAAAGCCCGAGATGGCGGCGGTGGTGGTGCTGGTGGAGGAGGAGGCGACACCGGTGTCTGTTCCACCACCGTCTCTTCCATTGTAATTTCATAGAAATGTTCTGGGGCATTGTCGTAATCCCAATGACTTGGGATGATCATTTTTCCACCCTCCTGATCGGATGTATCCCCCGGCTGCTCCTTCATGGGCACCGTTTCGATGAGGGTGTCTAGGGACATGACCATTGATCTAGATGCATCTGGTATCTGGGGCATGGAGTCTGTGTTCTCCTCACCTTCCTGACAATACTCCACCTTGATCACTGGCAGATTCGCTGTTGGGCCATACGCCGTTGCGGATGTCGCACTGGCACTTGCACCGGCACCTGCATTTCCCCGTACCGCTGAAGCTGGACCTATCGTACGACTGGCAAGAGGAGTCTCTGCATCCACGTCAACGCGTTTAATTTTTAAACTTGGCGGAAGCTTGACGTGGTGCTGTTCCAGATACAGCTTCAGCTGCTGGTTCCTGGCCAATTCGTCTGCATCGACGGTTTGCGAGCTGTTTGTCGCAGTGAGGAATAGCTTTTCGATCAGCACGCACTTTTCATAAAAGCGGTAGGCGACAGTTAGTTCGCCATGACACTGGTCGCAAATCTTGTCAGGCCAGCGCTGCATTTGCAAACTCTCCAGTTTCAGGGTGGTGCAAGAGCGAATCTTGTCCGCAATCAAGGTGTGCGGCGGCTCCAAGTCATGGCTGTATATGGAGCTGTGGCCGGGCTCCTCGTTCAAGCAGATTAGACAGGCCAAGTCGAGATCCACCACTCGCGACTCCAGGTTGGTTGCCATTTGCTTATTATAGCAACAATTAGTTGCTGAACGCAATTTTACACAAAAACGCAGTTCCAAACAAAACACCTCTGCTGTTGCTTTTTTTTAATTTAGCGATGGGCGCTTGCACCTATGTATCTGATGGAATGCATCGATAAGTGTCTATGTCGATAAGTGTGTATCGCATCGGTAGACATTTCACGTAGAACAGAATCACTCTTTGTTCCTGTTGTGATTCCAATTTCTGAATAGTTATAATTTCTGGATTTTTTTTTTGTACAGAAAATCTTTAATAATATAAAAGTATTACTCATATTTTAGAATGATTTTATATAGTATTGATTTTTGTTCCGGTGTTTCTCTTGAATCTTATATTGTATTGGAATATCATTCATTATTGTGGATTACTTCAATGTTTAGGCAGTTTTGAGCTGACTTTTGAGGAGAAATTTTTGTTGGCTGCAATTTAAGATGGCGGTAAGCAAAACAGACCAAGACAAAGTTAAAAAAGCAGTGCGGTGGAACTAGTCCCTATATTGTTATGTTACCTCTCCCGCCATTGCGATAGTGAATTAAGCCGATATATCCAGCCATCGATGATTTCGACCATCGTTGAAAATCAACAAAAGAAAATGCAACAAAGTAGGCGGATCAGATCAAGATAAAGCATAAGTACACTTTCGACTGCCTAAACAAACCTTTATCCCAGGAGGTAACTCATATTTTTACGCAACTTCTACTAGATCGTATGCAATGGAACTTCATTTTGAACATCCTCTAAACGCGCACATCAAGCAGCTAATGAACTTCTTCACGGCTGTAGAGGATAAGGATGCTTATATTTCTCCGGTACTGTTCAAACGATGCGGCGTGCTCATTCGCTTTCACATCGAGGACGTGTCCGATCGTGGAGACCTTAGCATCGCTAACATCAGCAAGTATTGGGAAGCCTACTGTCAGAATCACGGTCGGAAGATGCGCCTGAGCACGATAACGGACAAGAAGAATGGCCTAGTGTTGCCCGATGAAGAGTCAATGCAGGGTCTGATCGAGTATTCCAAAGACTGGGTGTTCCCCCTTCAGGAGATCACGCCCCTCTACAAGGATCGTTGCACGTTTAGTTTCCAGCGTCGTCCGATTATTTCTTACGTGCTGAGCACGGTGCTGAAGCAGGGCGCTCGCTATGGCCACCACTTGAAGTCGGAAAAAGCCCCCACCTTGTGCCTCGATCAGAGCCCGAGCTCGCACTATACTCTCGACGATGGGACCGAGCAGCTAGCTCACTATCGTCTCCGTCAGCTAAGAGGGATTACTCGTCGCCTAATGGCCTACTCCACCTGGCGCCTGGTGGATCCAGATCAGCAATCTGATGACACACTCCGTGTGATCGTGGAGACACAACGCTGCCCCACCCAGCCTACAGATCACGTATGTCTGGTCTGTGGACCCGTACTGGAGCCCGTCGACAAGGCAGCTACCAAAATGGACAGAGATAGCTACGTTGCGTGAGTCTTACTCGCTATTACCTGTCATGCCATCCTTTCTATCTCTTTCTATTCCATGGACAGGCTGCGCTCCAAGGACATGATACTCATGGCCATGCATCGTAATGGCGTCCGCCTGGGAAGTTCGCGCGGCGACTTTGATTCCCTTATCCAGCGCTTGGGCGCTGCTGCCGTGCTTGTGGATTTGTTTGAGGTGCGTCACGCCTCGGCGGCTACTGTGGTGCGCAATGGATCGGGCAGCTCCAAGGGGGCTTCGTACATACTGTACAATTCGGCCCGCTTGGAGACGCTGCTGCGTACCTTCAATACCCAGGTGGAGGCTGGGATCTACCAGCCACTGCCTCCGCTGGCCGACATCGATCTCAGTCTATTGGAGGACGATGTGAGTGTTGAGTTGAATCCCCATGAAGAGAAAGACACCATGGCAATAACGCAACTTTGCGAACGGTTTTGCAGCTCGACTGGAAACTGATATATGGCCACCTCCTGCCCTTCCCAGAGGTGGTCGAGTCCACGATGAATCTGCTGCACCAGGGCCAGTGTGACGTGCACCTGTTGGTGCGCTACATCAACAGCCTGGCCGTGCTCTTCAGCCGCTACTACCGCCAGAAGAGGATCCTCGTGCAGATGCGGGACCATCTGATGCCAGTCCTCTATGCCCGTGTCTACCTTGTCATGGCGGTTCGTCAAGTGCTCAATGTGGCCCTCTCACTGCTCGGCATAGAGCCCGTGTCTTATATATAGATATACAATCTAAGTAGTAGTTATTTATACACATGCTCACTGACAAAATGACCAGTCGCTGCGACAGCTCGCCACTGACCATTGACCCCATTGGCTCATGTATTGATATAAAACTCTTCTGTGGTATATGCATTTGTTTCTGTTCCTGCCTGTGCGTTTATTGTTGAACAATCATTTTTGTTATTGTTATAGTTGTTATTTTCGGAATTGTTATCTCTCTTCGAGTGGTGGGGTGTTTTCAGGTTGGGTTGGATTGGATCCCATCCCATCCAAGTGTTGCGATATTTGGGAATAGGATTAGTTATTGCATTTAATGGTACCATCCATGAGGAGTGCCTCTCAAGTTAATTAAAGAGGAAAAGTTTTGGTTTAAAATAATTTATAATGTGTTTTTAATTTATATACAAATTGTTCGCTTATAGACTAAATATTTTATTATCGTTGGAGCGAATTTTGAGGTAAAAGTCAATCGGAATCAACGGCCTGGAGCTATCAGGCCATCATACTCCGTGATTCCAGACACCACCCTGGGATTATCCTAGTTACGAATCTAGCTGCTGGTCTTTGCTTAGTCTTGGCTTTATGGACTTATCACTGGCAGCAGGTGGGTGTCTCATGCACAGACACACTAGGAATAACACTTACAAGGATACGATGGGACATTCACACACACACACACACACAAAACACAGATGGGGAACCATTATCTGATTAATGTTAAGATTAAAACGTAGAACATAATACTATATATGGCAGCAGGAGGTTTAGGGATGGAGATCCATCATCTGGCCTGCTGCTGCTGCTGCTTCTGCCTGTTGAAGTCTGCGATGAAGCGAAAATTGTCACGGCTGTTGTAGAAAAGCTGCTCCATCAGCCTGGTGCTTCCCAAAGAGTTGGCCTTGGTGCCCAGACACATGTTGTACTGAGCGGCCTCCAGCTGGATGTCGCAGCTGATGTCGTGGTAGACGTGGACGAGAGTTGGGTCCGGTGCACGGAATACACTGAGGCGACGCCACTGATCTGCGGCCTCGTTATAGTCCAGTGGCAGCTCTGCGGTGTTGGAAAGGAAGCCTTGTTGGCGGGTGCCCACGCGAACAATCTTCTCGAGAAACTTGACATCCTCCAGACCCCAGCCGGTTATGTCCTTGTCGAAGCCATTGATGTCCTCGTCCAGTATGTCCGACTTGTAGATGGCGCATATACCGAACCCGAACTGCCTAAAGTACCCGTTCTCATCGTCGATGGGCGGAGGCAAGTCTCCCGTGCCGCCATCCGAGCGACGCTGCGGATCGTACTGACTGAACACAATGGGCAGATAGACCTGTCGCCCCCGCTGCGTGTGCATCCGCACCCGCTGCAGCGTGGTCACCTCGAAGACCATGTCCACATCGATGAACAGAATGATGTCCGCGGGCTGGATGTAGGAGGAGCGGGCGGCAACATCCAACGCCACACCGCGGGAGAAGGAGCCACTGCGCTGGATCCAGTTCACCTGCTGGTACACGTGACGGCCTCGCAGATGGCTCAATAACTGCAGGTGATCGCCCAGCTCCTCTGGAGCTCCAAATATCACCACCAGCAGGTCGCAGTGCTGCTCCGCTTTGATGCATATCCGCTCGTAGGTGCGCAAGAATCTCTCAAAGGTACCCAGTCGTCCGGAGATCGGCAGCACGAACACAATTTTGTCCTCTGCCTGAGGCAGCAGGCCGCTGGCCATCGTAAAGTGGCTGCTCAGGCGCGCCATGCCACTGTGAAGGATGCTGCCCAGCAGACCTGAAAGGAGTCCCAAATTAATTTAAGATATATTGGCTTGGCGTACGCAGATGCGGGCTGCGGGTGTGCACAACGAAACTCACTCTGCTGTAGGGTGACATTGTAGAAATCCTCATCGAACTCCTTCACAAAGATGCCCGTGAAGGCACGCTGCACGTACAGGTGTCTGCGGACGGGCACAGTCATCTTCTTGCCCCGATACTTCTTGTAGATGAGCAGCAGATCCAGGATGAGGTCCTGCCCATGCAGGGAATCCAGTCGATGGTAGCCGTACAACAGCTCCCGGAACTCAATCACCCGTCCACGTTGCCTGGAATAGTTATTGATGTTCTCCATAACTTCGGTGATGACATCCTCGAGTCCCTCGCGCATCGACGAGTCGATTTTCTGCTTTGGATTCGCCGAGCTGGCCGAGTAGAGGCTTCGTGCTATGAACGACCAGTCCAGCAGATCGTCCGTGCTCCCCGGCACAAATTTGTTCAGTTCGGGGCTGATTCCTGTTGGAAAACGAACGCTCAAATGAGTAATCGATCGGTTGATAAGTGTTCGGTTTGAATGCCAATGCTGGGCGAATGCTAAAGTATACCAGGAAGGCAGGAGGCCTTGGATGTTTTGGGTTTGCTGTAACCATATTGGTTGACGTCTGATTGGCAGGCAGTCAGTCAGTACTGAATTCCCAGTGTACACAAATAAAATTATTGGAAGATGCCACCCAAAAAGTCGGGCCAGATGCGGCTACCACTCTTGCCTCTGTCGTTACTGGTGTTCCTGTCGCTGCCAGTGGCCTTATGTGCCAATGTCCCACCGCTCTCGATGCAGGGGAGGGAGCAGACAGCGCAAAAGCCGATGGGAGAACCAGCCGATGAGGAGCTGACGGTCAGGTATTGGCTGAGGCAGGGGCGCGCTCAAGTGGCGGCTCGACTGGAGCGCACCCAGGACACGGTCACGAATGGGCGTAGGGCCAAGAACATCATCATGATGCTGGGCGATGGCATGTCCATCACCACGCTGACGGCGGCGCGCATACTGAAGGGCCAGCGCCAGGGGCACAGCGGCGAGGAGAGCCAACTGGCTGTCGAGAACTTCCCCTACTCCGGCCTCTGCAAGACCTACTGCACCAATGAGCAGGCCCCTGACTCGGCCTGCACGGCAACCGCCTACTTGTGCGGGGTGAAGACCAGCAAAGGCACCGTTGGCCAAAGCGCCTCCGGCGAGACAGTCGAGTCACTCAGCATGTGGGCGCATCGCGCGGGCAAGGCCACAGGGCTGGTGACGACGACACGCGTGACTGATGCCAGTCCGGCGGCGGCCTATGCCCACGTGGCCAAGCGCAGGGAAGAGCTGGAGGTCGCCCGCCAGCTGGTGGAGGAGCAGCCGGGCCGCCACTTCAAGGTGATCCTAGGCGGTGGACTGGGCAAGTTCAATTTCGAGCGAAGCGACGGCCGGGATCTGGTGCAGCAATGGAAGTCGGCCAATCCGGAAGGCTGCTACGCCCGCTCCATCAGCGAGCTGCGCGACTGCGTCAGCTGCAATGGCAGCATACTGGGACTGTTCAGCGACAGTCACATGGGCTTTCACCTGGCCCACCAGGCACACAAGGAGCAGCCAAGCCTCAGCGAGATGACGGCCGTGGCCATTGAGCGCCTGTCGGAACATCCCGACGGTTACTTTTTGTTCATCGAGGGCGGCCGGATCGACCACGGGCATCATGAGACACGCGCCGGGTATGCCCTGGACGAGACGCTCGAGTTTGATGCCGCCATTGAGATGGCCCTCCGCCTGACCGATCCCAAAGAGACGCTCATCGTCGTGACTTCCGACCATTCGCACACCCTAACCATGTCTGGGTACGCGAAGCGCGGCACTCCCATCTTGGGATTGGACCAGCTCCAAAAAGACTTGAATGGTGTCCAGTACAGCACCCTTAACTACGCCATCGGCAAGTGGCAGAGCCACGGCAAAGACGGCAGACGCGAAAATCCCGGGAAGACCCTCACTCAAAGTACGTGGCACCTGAATCTGAATCCTCTCCGTTATCGATGTTTCTAAAATTGAGCTCTGCTTCTTTGCTCCCTTGCAGCTTCCTTGACGCCCAGTTACATTCCCGGCTTTAAGGGCGTTCACTCGGGCGAGGACGTGGCGGTCTTTGCCATTGGCCCACAGTCGCATCTTTTCGGCGGGATCATGGAACAGAATCTGCTGCCCCACCTCATGGGCTATGCGGCGGATCTGGATTCACTGCGAAACGTCGACACATCTATCTAAGTTCTTTTTCCTTTTCGTTTTGGCGTTCTCTCAAATAATAAACAAAAAATGTTTAAAAAGTGTGTAATGAAGAAAATTCAAACAGCTGTTTCGCGGTAACCCATGCTGCTAACGATAGTGAGTATGGCGATACATATTTCCGTATATGGAATATCGATATTGAGCAACAAAGTAGGGCAATTAGTGTTATACCTACTGTTATAATACAAATAACTATCTTTGTGTGCCGCTAAATGCGTATCCAGCTTTCGTTTGACTTTGACTTCGCAATAATCAAGCTGACTCTAGGCGAAACTCAAAACTAAAACCGTACGTGTTGGAACGTACGGACAAGTATGGTGACTTACCTAGTATATTGTGATCCTGAAAGTGTCTCTTGCCCGAATCGCTGTCCGGCGAGACGCTGGGTAGCATATAGGTGCTGTCGTCGGGCACCTCCAGATACTTGGCCATGCGCTTAATGTCCCGATGCAGCAGCAGAGATTCCTGCCGCATCTCCTCCGCCTTCAGGCCCTGCTTGGTGGGGAGAAAGTGGGATTGAGGAGTGCAACTGCAAACTGCATTGTGTGACGTGTGGAACTTGTGTCCTACGTACCTGTATGTAAGAGTGAAGGCGATACATTAGCGGCGCCTGCTTGATGGGATGTAGGGTGATGGCGTTGTGGATCTCCTTGCGCTTCAGCTTGCCCGTGTATGCATTTCGACCGCTGGAGTTGTGCCGCAATATGTACTGCATCTAAAGGAGCGAGAGAAGTTAGCACGGGAATGGCACGGAAGGAATGGAGACGGCTGCGTTCGGCTACCTCGTAGTTCCAAGTGCAGGGAATGCCCGCAAATTTCTGGACACAGCGGCCCACCTCCACGTCCTCGTGCGTACTGTACAGATTCTTAAGGCAGGTGGGTATGTGGGGTGCCACGCGCCTTAGTGTCTCACTGCTGAGTATCACGCCCGGCCCGCCCATGCAGAAGTTCTCGTCAAACTCCAAGGAGAGCAGGCCGAACTCCTCGCTGTTGCCCTTGCCCGCCTGGCCGATGAACTGCGGCTTGGAGCTGTCGATGGAGCGCAGGAAGCGCTCCAGCTTATCCGGCTCCATGTACACATCGTCGTCGGCCCGAATAAACCACTCGAATCGGTCGATATAGTGCTCGTACATGTAGTACAGCATCATGAATGACTTCTTCTGCGGCGGATAGCGGTCGTCGACGTTCTTCAGCCCCACCACTGGCAACTCCTCCGAGTAGCTGCCCTCCGAGCTGAAGAACGCAATCCGGCCCGGCACCTCCTTGCCCCACGTATCGTACACGGCTCTCGCGCGTCCCTCCAGAAAGCTCTTGGCCGTCATCACACCCACGAACACGAGATTCCGCTGTGAGTTCTGTATGGTGTCCTCATCCTCTAGCCCAATTATCTCGTTGGGTGTCTTTAGGTTCGTCGGCCGCAGGTTGCACCGCTTCACAATCTCCAGCGCGCGGTAGTTCTTCAGCACGGTGCCGATGCAGAGACCCAGCGCAATACCAAAGCAGGCAATTATAAGCGTTTTGCGCTTGGTCATCGTGTGCTGCAGCATGGTGAGGGCTCAGGTGTGAGTATACTCGGACCCTCAGCAAGCGGGGCACATGTGCTTCTGATTCGCTGTGCCAGAGAAAGAGGGAAATGTTGATTTTGATTTTCGTTTGAAGGGGAAAGGCAAACTGATGGCTCGTGGGCGCGTGCCCAACATGAAATATTACTCATCTGGCAGAGTACACTGTAAACCCCCCCTACACACTGCCTGAAGCGATCTTTTGTGGAAAATGTATCAATTCATAGAAAAGCGAACGATCGCTTGAGGACTCCACTAATAGAACTATCCCGATTTTGGAATATCATTTGCTCTGAGACGGTGAAACTCTATTCCATTTCACGATTCTACCACATACATCTGTAAATGAAAACGTTTCTGCATGCATACATGCATACATATTTATATATATATGCATGTATGTGTATGTACATATGCGTAGGTCAATACGAATTTCGATATTCTTAAACAAGTGTTGAATGTGCACACACACATACTCACTGACTCGTAAATATTTGCATTTCCTTGGCTCGGCCGTCTGAGGCAAACACATATTCCAAGACCCACGGGGACACTTGAGTCGAGATTTAAAAAAAACGCTGGGTTCGTCATTTAGCGGCGGGGGACTTGGTTGGGTGTCTGCTTACTAAAGTAAGAATACGAATACGAGTACGAGCATGATTATGGGTATGTAAATATGTACATCTGCATGTATGTGATGTGTGTGTGTTTGTACGATCGCGTCGTTTCTGCGATGTTGCCGCTGTAAATTGGACATCGCACAATTGAATCGTGCGGGCAATTGAGAGCCACCTTACGGTGAGAGTCGTCTCTAGTAAATCTGGCGTTTTCCTACGTACGGAATACAGCAAAATGCTAATTAAATAAACAAACAGCGCGGCAAGCTATTTGGTTTACAAATCAAAGGCCGGCAAAACGTAAACTGGAGCAGCGCACACACATGCACACACACAACCACCGCCTCAGAATGCTTCATTAGAATTTAGAATCGGTTCTATTGGATTCGAGTTAGATCGGATTGGAATGTATTGGATGGGTATTGACGCACGACCTTCTCTCTGACGCTGCCCCTCACCTGAGGTACTCAAAGACTGATTCACCTGTCCAGGTGCTCTTTTCTGCTCTGCATTACTCTAATTTGATCTGTGTGATCGACCTGGCCAACCAGCTGATGGCAGCCACCCACCCAGTGGGTGCTCTCTTTCATTTGGAAGATTCTCCCGTGCGTATCTTTATTATGCAATCGAACGAGTTCGATGGACTGCTTATACTTAATTTACATTCGTATAATCGCACTGTTTTCCCACAATATCACACACACTCTCTCTCTCTCTCTCTCCTCTCTCTATCCAAAGACAAGGTCTCCCTCAGCGTGGAGAGCTTCTGGCCATTGCTGGAATGGAGGGGGCGCTAAGTAGTAGCTCGTAGATTAGTTGATTGTCGCAAGTGTTTTGGTGGGACCTTGACAGCGGCTCGAGACGTCAATGGGTCGCTATTGATTATTGTTTTTGTCCCTAGTGGTTTTGCTTTTAATCTGAGCTTGCGTTCAATGATCTCTCTTTTTGAATTAAAATTATGAATTTTCAGCTTTTCAGAATTTGCTTTATCAGACTTATAGAAGGATTATCCTTACTTCGATCTCGAATAGAGAGTGAATCGTATTTATTTGTTTTATTGATCAATCGTCGAGTAGTAAATTAACACTTTTTCAGTATAGACCTCAAATGTTGCACTTTTTAATGTTTGTACTATGTATGAGTGATCTGATAGAAAGCACTTTACCACTTAAAATGGGAGTCCCACACGTTTGGCGCACTTGGCTCGCCAGTTTCCGCCGATCACGTTTCCGCCAATTGCTCACTTTGCACTTTTTTCCTCATACAGTGGCCATGCATGGATCGGGTGTTTCCTGGTGAGTTCTTGGGGGTCTGGTGAAAATTGAAGATGGGAGATTGGAGGGTTAGGGTTACACTTGGCCACAAGGCACTCGACTGTTGACACTTGGACGGTGCGGTGTGTATCTGTCTCGTTTGTCGTTTGGCGTCAGGGGCCTCGCAATGCCCTGCCGCTCACAGAAACGCACTCACAGCCACACTCGGTTCGACAGACAAGCAGCGCACAGATACGATTACGCATACATTGGCAAGGGAATGAGCACACACGCGGTTTAATTATTATTAGGTTTTGTTGCTGCTGCGGCTGTTACGACGATAAGTTCGCAAAGGTCGATCCACGATTCACGCAATTCCACAACTCACGAAAAAAAGATAATAAAAGAGCACACTCTCGTAAAAACGCAACACCACTTACTTGTTATTAAACTATTTCCCCCAATTTCATTTCTTAACACAGGAGAAAACCGGTACAAGAACAAAAAACAAAAATAAAAAACAAACCCGCCGAAGAAAAAAAATGTTTCTATTGCGACTATCGACGATACTATCGACAACTACCGATGGTTTAAAATGTACTATCGTCCACGATCGATAGTTCTCCACCTCTAACATGTATGTTAACCGATAACATTGAAGAATTTGAAAAATAGCGCGCGCCACAATACAGAAGAGAAATTCTATTTTTGTGCCTATCAAATGCACTGGCGCTAAGCAGTCTAAATAAGGTTAAAACTGAAAAGATAAATTCAAAACAAATTAACATCAAACGTAAGAATTGAACATAAGTGGTTCCTTAATTAAACTACTTGTTGCTTGCTTCTACGACCTTGTTTAGGTCACACACCTTGCATTTTTCCATAACATGATTATTTTCTTGTCTTCCAATACTTTTCTTAGCGCTTGAAGCGCCTCTTGTCTCATGCAGCTATGTAGAAAATGTGTCGAAATGCCATTTAAAAGAAGTGCCCTGCTACATCTAATAGGTGACTAGGATCGTGATAGATATATATGTAGATATGCATATAAGTACGCATCGAAGTTATATAGAACACTGGCTCCATCCGGCAGGAGTATGTGATTCAACAGTTTCGTAGTAGCCAGCGTTGAAAGGTTGACAACAAATGGCTAGATGAAAAAAAGCTTGCCTAAAGTCTACACGCTTTTGAAATTTGTGTGTCTTGGGTTTTCTACAAGGCACGCCATCTGACGCTAATTGTTTGGTTTGTGTCCTTGCTAAGTCATGTAGCTTGCTGAATGTACATACATACATCCTTTTTCTTCTTCCTGTTTTAAAATTTTATCCTTCTGCCGTTGACCTTAAGAAATTAACCCTCGTCGGGAACTTGGCGGACTCTTCGCAAGGCCGAATATCAAAATCGCAACTGTAGGAGAGTTCTCACTTCCAAAATACTATCACGGAGAACAGTTCCCTACCATCAAATTTCTCTAAAACGGCAACGTATAAACGTGTCGATCTACCCATTCAAATGTCTGGAGGAATGTACATGGCTTTACATGGCTGAACGGAAGGAAGGACAGGTACTGGTACTGTGGCACTGTGGGCAGTGAGCAGGGGGCAGGGGGCAGGGTTATGTTGTGCTTTGTGTAAATTACGACTAACACTATATATTTTTGCATTTTGCATTTTACATTTAAGCGATTTTTGCATATAACATTAGCTTAATGCCATCATAAATTGTGTGCTCAAATCGAACGGCAATAAATACATTAGCCCCCGGTTCGCGGCTCTGTCCCTCTCTGCTCCGTTTCGTTTCGTTTCGTTTTGTCCCGTTCGGTTTGGTTCGGTTGGGGGCGGGTACTGTGGCTCGGCGGTGGCTCATTGAATTTCAAAATGATGCTAAAGTGAGAAAAGCTTTCAATTGAATTTAATGTGAAAAGTTGATATGCAAATGAGCCGCGATCTCTGCGATGCTGTTTACTTTATTTGTTATTTATTTATTTATCTATCTATTTTGCTGTCGTTTTGCTAGTTATACTCTTTCGATGGGGCATCAGCTACGTGCAGAAGTGCTGTTCATTGTACATACAACACAGAAACGAAGAAATTCCAAATCTCTGACGTTCCATGCATATCTTTGAATGGAGTTACAGGAACGTACGTTTACAATTGCCTCACTGCATAATAGCAAAGATCTGTGGAATAGTTCATAGTTCATACATTCATATATGTCGAGCTACACGTATCAATAGCTTTTGTTGGAGAGAAATTCAACTTCGTACTTCGTAAATGTGCACATATCAAATATGGCCAGCCTTGGAATATTGCATCTGCAAGTGTATGCAAGGCTTCGGCTTCTTTATTGTTTGCTCGATCGCGATTCCGTTGTTGGCCCTGCGGTTGGTTATATATTTTATCTTTAATAAATGGGAACATTTAGCAGCCCACAGCTTAGTTTATCGAATTTAACGCGCCGACCTCTTCCCAGTCGACATCGGGTTCGCCTGCGCCCTCGCCCTCGCCCTCGCCCTCGCGCTCGTCTCGTCTCGTTCGCTCAACCGCCAATTAAATGCACATTAATCATTACCTGTTCGGGGGCTCACTGCCTCTCCCTGTGGCAGGAGCTGGCTGAGCACCCGCCTGGCCCTCCCCAGTGACATGTGTTTACCCATCGGCATTTCAAATATGCTCTTCATCGCACTCAGCTCCCCGCGAAGGTGCCACGATCCATAGTTTATCTGTAGTTCCATTTACACGATGACAATCCAGCTGACATGCGTCATGATTTCACGATTGAACTACGAGTATAAAAGGGCTTGCAATACTTCATGCTAATTGACGAAGAGAGAGAGAGAGAGAGATCAGAGAGAGATGGCGTCAAGTGTCGGATAAACATTTCCCACTATTAATCCCGTAGGCTGAACCAGTTCCTTGCTCCACAATGAACTAGTTCATTTGATGGCTCAATTATCTAACTACTTAACTTAATTAGTTGGCTCAAAGAATCTGAGAATATCTACATATAAGAAATATTTTGGGAAGGCAAACGGTTCTTGAATATGAGTAATACAGTCTGAAGTATCAAATGATAGGGACGGTAGTCCCTATGGACCATGAACTGTGGCACCCCAATTATGTAATTTGTGTAACTTCGTGCTTGATCGCATTTACTTGGTGTTTATTGGTACTTCACACTTGATGGTGCTCTAATAGGAGTAAACCAGAGGCTTTCATTAGTGTGGCCCGACTCCAATGTTTCTAACCTGCAAGCTGGATGGCCCGTGTTCAGTTCATCCTGAATCCTGATCCTGATCCTAAATATTCGTACTTGGCGTACGTAAAGCCAGAGCAATGACTACGTTTGTTAAGTAACTATCTTTCGATCCACATAATTTGTCAGCATTTTGCACTCTTTTCCACTCTGATGCCGCTGGTTGCTCTGTACAATGGGACAACAAAATGTGCAACTCAGCGTCGCATTTCAGTTGATTTGCCACCGTTGTCCTCTCCTCTGGCTTGTTGTTTGATTAAATTGTTTCAATTGTTAACGTTGCTCGCAATTTGTCAAGTCCAAGTGGCGTGTTTGTGTGGCAGTTGTAGCTTGTGGCGCGTGGCGCGACTTCGAATTAAGAGACAACAACAAAAATGTGTGCAAAAGAGTGCAGCAGCCAACAGGGGTTCGGCCATGTGATACTGAGTGCTGCTGGTGCAATGATTAAGTCTTTCCAGTGCGTAGTTTAGTGGAAAGGCCAACCAAAGGCTAAGAAGTTGTGAGTCGCAAATTCTGCAACTTATTGTAGTGGCACCCATCGCATGGATGGTTGCAGCAAGAAGAGCCTGGGTCTGGGTGTAACAGCCTATTATACCCCGTAGGCAATCGTAGCCGTGTAGGGTAGACACTGAAAAAACAAACATCAGACTCAAATTGCCAATTTTTGTGCATTTTGTGCTCCTTTTCAAAACTAATCACGACTAATGAAAGACAACCACAGCAACAACATCAAGTAGCTGAATGCGCGGCATGGCTTTTGGGGTCGACCACGCCTTCTCATACATGCAGAGAGAGGAAGAGAGAGCGATAGGGAGTGGGAGAGGCAGAGGGAGAGGGAGAGGGAGAGACCGCCCCCACATCTGGTGATTGACAGAGCGTCTGGGCACGGCTACAACACAATCGAAGCCGCTTCAATCTGGACCCCAAAGTCAGCCCCAGCCCCAGTCCCAGCCCCAGCCCCAGCCCCAGCCAGATCCAAAGCCGAAGTCGGAGCCGGAGCCAGAGACAGAGCAAGAGCCAGATACAGATACAGAGCAAGCAACTGTCCCCGTTTGGTCACCCGGCGCTGGCCATAATTTAACCAAATGTCGTGCAAACGACAATGACGTCGACATGGCCAGTCAACTGATCACGCTCAGGTTTCGATGCGATCAGTAATACCCTTGGCGGCCAGGGCATCACCCATTAACCATTAACCATTAACCATTAACCATTAACCATTAGAGATTGTTCCGGGGAGCTAATATTAAATGTATGTGCATGAAGAGGAGGAACTACAGCAACAGATTCTTTGACGTATCTTTCAGAGAATCCACACGTCGATGGACCACAGATCAGAGTTTCCTTCCTGACATTGGCTTCGGCCGGGAGCGACATTTGTTTTATCGGCTTGGGTCCACAGTGGCCCCTGACATCCATTACCTATTATCCATTATCCATTATCCATTATCCATTATCCATTACCAACCCCACCCGCGCGGTCACCCTATAGCCTCATAGCCGCCCACAATGCTAATTGGAGCATTTGTTAAATGGATTTCTTGCCATTGCTTGGCTTGGCTTGCGCACTGCCACTGGCCACTGGCCACATTTAAAATAGCCGTTCGCCTGGAACTGTCATTTCTCCAATAACTGCTCTAATCATTCTGTTTCTTCAGAGGCTAAGGATGGATGGGATGGGATGGGATGGGATGGATCTCCACTTGGGTAGAATAATCATCTAAGAATAGTTCAGAATGCATGCATATGTATGTAGAGCCATCAGGATCTTCTCACTTTGGCCTTGTTGGCTTTCAGCGTCACGATTCGATCACTTCCTTGATCCTCACTTCGGAATATACATACATATATGTATGTGTATGTGCATGCATGTGTGTACATATGTACACACAATTTATGTCATTTCATCTCCTCCTCCTTCGGTTGCTATCTCTTCTTTTGTTCAGTTTTTAATTAATGACTCAGTGAGGTAATCAATT